GCTTCTCCTGATGCAGCCCAGAGTATGGTTGGCCTTCTGGGCTGCCAGTGCACATTGCCGGCTCATGGCCAGCTTTTCATCCACCAGCGCCCCCAAGTCCCTCTGGGCAGGGCTGCTCTCCATCCCTCCATCCCCCAGCTGTATAGATACCAGGGGGTTCCCCGACCCAGGTGCAGGGCCTTGCACTTGTCCTTGTTGAACCTCATGAGGTTCACACAGGCCCACCTCTCCTGCCTGTCCAGGTCTCTTTGGATGACATCCCATCATGGCATGTCAACCACACCCCTCAGCTTGGTGTCATCTGCAAGCTGTAAACAGATTCCCTCAGCTCCTGTAAATTAGGAACCACACTTGTACATGTACTGCTGCTCACCATCTCTTGCCTAGACAAGAATCCGGCTGAACACACAGCACTTGAAGGTAAATTTTGTAGACTGTCCTGTTAAGCCAGCATTGCTTAGAGCTCATGACATCCAGCTATCATATTTGTAGGTATTTGTACAATAATCACCATTTATCTTGCATCATGAGCCAAGTTTGGAACTTCTGGGAGCGGACTACCACGATTTGGCATCAAGCTGAGCAGAGGGGCAGAAGAGGTGGACAGTATCAGAGGCGGCACCCAGGGCTCAGTGGTACAGGTTGGTGAAATGGCAGATATCAACTCTGAGGACAACTGCCCCCGACTGAGATTTCCCAAAAAAAAAAAATGACTGATGAAGAAGAGATGATGTGGAAACTACCAATTCAAAACCCCATCGATCCCAGCCTGAGCCTTCCTCTCTGCAGATTAAATATCACACGGCTTTGTATAATTTTGAAGCCAGATTCTTAACTGGCACATGGACTGCAGCGCAGCCACAGATAACTGCAAATAAATGGCCCGAAATCCTAAATCCTCAATACCGCAAGCTTTCTTTCCATTGATAACATCCCCCAATTTTGTGTCATCAGAAAATTTCATCACAGCGTGACTATTCTTGGTGCCCAGGTACAGAATAAAACATACAAAAGAAGATAAATTTGTGAGAAATCCCACTGGTCTCTCTCTCCAGCCTGATGCTTGCCCTTTCCACACAACCCCATAGTGTCTTCAGCTGCCCTCACTGTACAATTCCTCCACCTTATTCTGCTTCACTAATAGGTTTCCACGGCAGTAGCTTTGCAGGGAACTGTTGGCTTAAGAACAAGAGTTATTCCTGGGAAACAAAATGTGCCAGATCTCAGCTTTCTGCTAAGGGAGAGTCGCTTAGCTCGTCAAGCCTGATCTGCCTTTCACAGGGTCTCCTATTTTCCTCTAACAATTGTTCCTACTTTCCAAATCCCTCCTAAATCCTGATCTATAACGGATATCAGAAAAAATTACTAATCAAATTTACTAATATTTATTATCATCCAGTCATTTCTCTGCCCTGAGAAGTAAGCTCTCCAGGTTTTCCTTCCATTCCAGCTGTGATAATTCCATATCCATAACCTCTTTGGCCCTATTGCCTTTACCCTCACAGCCAGCACCAGGATATACTTTTAAATCCAGGGAAAACGATCACTGACTTTGAGCGGGACACAGATGAGCCTATAAAATAATACAGCATAAGAGCATTTGGCTGAAGACCCTCCTGGCCTTCTGGGCTGCCAGCACACATTGCCGGCTCATCCAGTCATTTCTCTGCCCTGAGAAGTAAGCTCTCCAGGTTTTCCTTCCATTCCAGCTGTGGTAATTCCATATCCATAACCTCTTTGGCCCTATTGCCTTTACCCTCACAGCCAGCACCAGGATATACTTTTAAATCCAGGGAAAACGATCACTGATTTTGAGCGGGACACAGATGAGCCTATAAAATAATACAGCATAAGAGCATTTGGCTGAAGACCCTCCTGTCCCAGCATCCTCCAGTGGTCCCCATTGCCTGGGGGAGCACACAGGGCACTGGACAGCGTTGGGACTGGGACTTTCTGGAAGCCGTGTCCGTGGTGTGTTAAATAGCCTTTAATAATAGTAATAATTTTGCTGTCATCTTCTCCCATTACTTATAAGCCTGTTTACTGCTTGGACATCCCAAACTGGTCCACAATTTGCAACAATGTCCTCTTCTTTTGTTTGTTTTGCTGTTTCCATTTGATATTTGCTATTCAGTGAACAATAATTCTCTGCTCACCTTCCCATGGCAGCTCAGCTTTAATGACTTTTAGCATATATTGGTATTCAGCCCCCTCTTTTTTCTTCCCCTGGTTTATTTACTTATACGATACTTTAGCCTTATAAATAGCTTTTAAATGAAAGTTTCCCCTGCCTTTAAGGTCAAAATAGTCTTTAGAAGACAGAATTTCCATCTATCCATGAGCAGATGATACCCAGTGACAGAAAAAGAAAATTAACTTTGGTTGCTCATTTCGGAGTTACGCTTTTGCAGGTAATAACTGTAATGGAAAAGGAAAGGGATGATAAAAACTACAATATAGGAGAGTAGCCAGAGCTAAGAGTTTATTTTTCCTGGGTTTTGTTTTTACAAGACAGTGACTTCAGAGCTAGCGAAGGTGCTGCTGTCTCAAGCATCTTCCAAGAGTAACGATGCTCCGAAGGAAACCTGCTCTGTAGCTGTTTGGAACTTATATGTGTTTAATTCATTTGCATTAGCTCTTCCCCAAGGCTTTAGCAATTTGATTTAATTTACTTTGCTGTACTTATTCCTATCTTTCATAATTCTG